ATGTATGTATGTATGTATGTATGTATGTATGTATGTATGTATGTATGTATGTATGTATGTATGTATGTATGTATGTATGTATGTATGTATGTATGTATGTATGTATGTATGTATGTATGTATGTATGTATGTATGTATGTATGTATGTATGTATGTATGTATGTATGTATGTATGTATGTATGTATGTATGTATGTATGTATGTATGTATGTATGTATGTATGTATGTATGTATGTATGTATGTATGTATGTATGTATGTATGTATGTATGTATGTATGTATGTATGTATGTATGTATGTATGTATGTATGTATGTAGTGGCTTTGATATTGTAGTGGCTCCGATCGAGTAGTAGCTAGGAGCTGAATCACTAGCGCAAATACCAAAGACCACAGAAGTGTACGAGAATCACTAGCGCAAATACCAAAGACCACAGAAGTGTACGAGAATCACTAGCGCAAATACCAAAGACCACAGAAGTGTACGAGAATCACTAGCGCAAATACCAAAGACCACAGAAGTGTACGAGAATCACTAGCGCAAATACCAAAGACCACAGAAGTGTACGAGAATCAATAACTTTACACCGGAGTTTACAATCTGTGAACGCAAAGAGAAAATAAATAAAAATAATAATATTAATAATATTAGCATTAATAATAATAATAATAATAATAATAATAATAATAATAATAATAATTAATATTATTATTATTAATATAAAAAGAAGAAGAAGAAGAAGAAAGAAGAAGAAGAAGAAGAAGAAGAAGAAGAAGAAGAAGAAGAAGAAAAAAAAGAAGAACAAGAACAAAAGAAGAACAAGAAGAAAAAGAAGAAGTTGTGCCTGTTTATGTTATGTTATAGCAATCGACATCATTGCACTTTAGACATTCTCACACGTTCTCAGTCCTTAGATCCTGCAGCTTTATCGAGCGTACCTCTGCTGATCTTTATCCGTTATGGGTTGACAACAGTGTCTCCTATCTTGACCCTGAAAACAGACCCGACATGCTTTACCAATCCTTACTCTCTTGTCCTGCAAACGTGTTAACAGAACTCTGGCCACATTGTAAGCGAGAACAACGAATTAAGAATGTTGGTATACGTCGACCTTTGGTAGAACCCATTACATCTTTTAAGCTTTCACGATAAATCACTTTCGTCCAGATTTTTACAGACAAAACAATTTCATGTTCGTGACCTTAAGCTTGCCAAAGTAACGCAGGCAGTTAGTTAGTTACCTTTGATTGTAGTTGTTTTATGTTTCACTTTTGAAGGATTCGTTTTCCCCCCTTTAGTTTAATTAATTGCTAAATTGCTTATGTAAAACGCACCTGACGAGATAAAGTGAAATACACCAGTCAATGCATTGTGCATTCTATAGTTTGTGTCTTCTTTGTTCACATTTTTAACGGTCTAAAATTTCTTTGATGGTGATTAAAAGCACACGATGTTGACTTACGTCGAGTTTTCTTGCTTAACGTTTTCTTGTGTAGGCACTTTTATTGCATGCTTAGATGTGAATTTTACTGTTTGTATTGTTTTTCTTGTTTGAGAATCACTAAATACAGACAAATGAAAGTTAAACGAATTTGGAAAGAAATAGATGAAGAAAATGTTGAACATAAAATGGGATGAATTCAAAGGAAAGGTTGAAGAAATAAGAGAAATATCTCGAGGCAACCACTGGCAGCAAGAGTTATGAGACAAAGAAATTGGCGCGATAGTGGACATAGTGAACAGGGAATCACCAATCTGGCACATGAAAGAAAAAAGGATTGAGGAAATAGGAACATCTAAAAGAAACTCTAAAACAAACGTCGAAGAAAGAAGCCAAAGGTGCTGGACTGGATTCTATACTGGATAACGAAAGAATTGAACACGATGGAACGGAATGGCGGATTAGACGACGAGCTTTATGTGGCACAAAATGGCGCAACTGGCCAATGATGATGAAGGCCGTCGTCATTGAGAACGCCAGTAGTGTAGTGGCTCCGGTGCTGTAGTGGCTCCGATAGTGTAGTGGCTCTGGTAGTTTAGTGGCTCCGGTAGTTTAGTGGTTAAGGTAGTTTAGTGGTTCCGGTAGTTTAGTGGCTCCGGTAGTTTAGTGGCTCCGGAAGTTTAGTGGCTCTGGTAGTTTAGTGGCTCTGGTTGTTTAGTGGCTCTGGTAGCGTAGTGGCTCCGGTAGTTTAGTGGCTCCAGTAGTTTAGTGGTTCCGGTAGTTTAGTGGCTCCGGTAGTTTAATGGCTCCGGTAGTTTAGTGACTCTGGTAGTTAAGTGGCTACGGTAGTTTAGTGGCTCTGGTAGTTTAGTGGCTCCAGTAGTTTAGTGGCTCTGGTAGTTTAGTGGCTCCGGTAGTTTGGTGGCTCTAGTAGTTTAGTGGCTCCCGTAGTTTAGTGGCTCAGGTAGTTTAGTGCCTCCGGTAGTGTTGTAGCTCCAGTAGTTTAGTGGCTTCGGTAGTTTAGTGGCTCCGGTAGTTTATTGGCTCCGGTAGTTTCGTGGCTCCGGTAGTTTATTGGCTCTGGTAGTGTAGTGGCTAGGGTATTTAAGTGGCTCCGGTAGTTTAGTGGCTCGTGTAGTGCAGTCGCTCTGGTAGTTTAGTGGCTCCAGTAGTTTAGTGGCTCCGGTAGTTTAGTGGCTCCTGTAGTTTAGTGGCTCCTGTAGTTTAGTGGCACGGGTATTGTAATGGCTCCTGTAGTTTAGTGGCTCTGATAGTGTAGTGGCTCCGATAGTGTAGTGGCTAGGAGCTGAATCGCTAGCGCAAATATCTTGGGTTAGAATCCGAATCGATGTATATTTTATTTCCTGCTAAAATTTACCTGGGCTCCCAGGGTGAACCAAACTAACATGAAAACCCCGAAAAGATGAGAGAACTGGCGTTATGTTGACCACATCACGCATCAGTTGCTGATTGGTTAATGGAAAAAATAGGTATAGGTAAACTGGATGCTAGGAAATATATCCATTACTAATGTTTATTTGTCTTTTGTTCATGCTGCCGCTCTTTTTTGGGGTTAAGCTACTTTCTGATGAAGCGGACGTGGTGAAGCTCTCTGGAATCAAATGGACAAACCAGTAGAACAAAGAATTCATACTTTGAAAGTTCAATTCAGCAGGTGGTGAGCAGAGGTTCTGGAAGATGGAAGAGGGAAAACAAAGGCAGACTTTCAATCAGGTAGCTCACCCATTTGGGTTCCGGGGCCTATTAAAAAGACCAAAGGAACAGACTCACAGCCTACCCAAAAGCATGTCGTAGGAGACTAAATGGAGCTTCCTTTGAAATCAGAGTGCATCTGCCTGAGAGTCAATGAACTAGCAACTTGCATAAAAATGAGGAAGTTCTGTAAATCGGCTGTGCACGCAACATTCAGTTCTGGAAAAGGACTACGGTCCAGATGTTGATGAACAGCCAGAACTTTCCGTCGGATTTTACAGATAGTGAACGCTAAGAAGATTAAAATCAGGTCGCAACTGGTACTACTAATGTTTCGAATCTTCGTTGGCTACTGCAGAAAGGAACGGAGCACACTTGTTGAATGTCCCTAGTGCAGTGATATCAGTTCTTGATTAATTCATTAATTCATTCACTCATTCTATCATTCATTTATTTTTCAGCCACCAGGAGCTTATCTGCAACTAGCCGCACCACTATCCGCCACAACAACTAGAGGTCACCTGGCAGTATTGAAGCACATTTGTCAAGTGAACTATTGGTCATCTACATTGTTCTCCCACAACTTTAGTCACAGGCTATTCCATCCGAGACCAGTGATTTGTTATATAATTTTAAAGATACGTGTTGCTTACCTGAAAAACTCCATGAAATGATCTATCAGAAGCCATGTTAATATAAGCATGGATACAGTATAAGCATGGATACAGCTCCAAGTCTAAGATAATCAAAAAAGATATGGTGTTACTTAATCTATACACAGAAATACTGTGTTGTGTTAAACAAATGTAGAGTTATTGTGTCAAATATCGTAGACAAAAACATCGAGTTTCAGAACGTAGGCAAATATTCACTGTGTTCTTTAACCTGGGTGTAGTCAAAGTGTGTTCTTATTGCGAATATGGAGCGATTTGATATAGCAGGCACTCTACAGCTTTTTGTCTCCTTCAACAACACTAAATGTCATTTTAGAATTCATTTGTAACCAGCAAATCTAGATATTTAATGTTGATTTGAGCGGAGTTGAAACTGACATCGGAAACTCAGGGCACTCTCATAAACGCTCCGTCTTCACCTTTAAATGTTAGCGCAGATGTCCAGGACCAATGTTATTACCTGCAGTCTGATGATATGTCTATCTGGCTTCTCGTTTAGACGTTAAAAAGATATCTCAACTAGCTCTATTACAAGGATTTTGAAGCTAAAAAAAAATAACTATCAAAGGCTAATCTGTAACAACTAATGCTGAAACCTGGAGAAATCTCAGCAAACATAATTGTTGTCAAAGACTAATCTGTAACAACTAATGCTGAAACCTGGAGAAATCTCAGCAAACATAATTGTTATCAAAGGCTAATCTGTAACAACTTATGCTGAAACCTGGAGAAATCTCAGCAAACATTATTGTTGTCAAAGACTAATCTGTAACAACTAATGCTGAAACCTGGAGAAATCTCAGCAAACATAATTGTTGTCAAAGACTGATCTGTAACAACTAATGCTGAAACCTGGAGAAATCTCAGCAAACATAATTGTTGTCAAAGACTAATCTGTAACAACTAATGCTGAAACCTGGAGAAATCTCAGCAAACATAATTGTTGTCAAAGACTAATCTGTAACAACTTATGCTGAAACCTGGAGAAATCTCAGCAAACATAATTGTTGTCAAAGGCTAATCTGTATTAACTAATGCTGAAACCTGGAGAAATCTCAGCAAACATAATTGTTGTCAAAGGCTAATCTGTACTAACTAATGCTGAAACCTGGAGAAATCTCAGCAAACATAATTGTATTTTCCTCAGAAGTCGTCCTGTCATCCCCTTCCTCATGGGTTCAGTAAACAGTGACAGCGTAATAAACATTAGTAGGGTTGGGGATGAGCATAGTTTACATTCCGAGGACTTGCCTGGTTACAACCTAGAGGCATACACTGTGGTACTGTCCACTGCAGCTCATGTCCTGTCCACACTGTTTGGAGGCAGCAGTAACATCGCGGTCATCGTTGCCATCACTACACGTCGCAACATCAACAAGTACAGTTATGCACTTGTCCTGACTCTTTTCCTGGCATGCTGCAGTCTCAACTTCATCTGGAGTCCGTTAGAAGTTGCAGACCTTATAATGTTCCATTTCTCACACCGGCATCCTTTCAACAGTTATGTTCCAATCAAAACATATTTCTACCTGTTTCTCATTCTTCTTATCAGTTTCATTATCTTACTCATGTCGATAGAAGCCATATTTAAAATAAAACATTGTTTCGGAAAAATACTGAAAAAAATCTGGCCGCTGGCTTCAACTGTCACAGCTCTATTTTGTTCTGGATTACTGGCAGTCATCTTCTTCGTAAAATGTATCAACACTGAGCACATCTTTAGATGGACATACACGGTCATCGATAACGGCGCCAGATCCACAATTCTGGCGTTTACTGCTTTGGCATTTTGTACCGTGTGTGTGGCTTTGTTTATTATTTTGGCTTTTATAATCAAAGAATCGGTTTACTTTGAAAGTGGACGCCCACATTTCCGACAGAAGAAGATCAAACTGGATATCCCAGAGTTCCTGATTAGCCAGAGCAACGCCTGTGCGGACAACGATGGCGGGTTTGAGCATAGTCAAAGTGGGACGCCATCGCCAACGACCCCGAAACTTCTGTCAGTGATTAATCCGGAGACAGGTGGGGAAGACTTGAGTCCAATCCCAGATCTTCCAGGACCAATGGCGAAACCTACAGGAAACAGACTTGGAATTAACATGGCACAGGTAATCGTTTGACGTCGTCATCACTATCATCATTATAATAACTGTCATCCCCCGTGTGGGTTCCGTGGCCCCATTGAGGGGAAAACAAGAATAGACCCACTGCCTCCCCAAAAGCATGTCGTAAGAGTCGACTAATTGGGGAGCTTCCTTTGAAGTCGGAGTGCATCTGCCGGAGAGGCAAGGAACCAACAGTCTGTATTCAAGAGAATGAGATCTGTAAAACTGATGCACACGCAACACTCAGGTTCTGGAGCAGGACTGCAGTTCAGTAGTGGACGAGCAACCAGAACCTTCCGCCAGAGTTTACAGCTGGTGAACGCGAAAAAGAAGAAGAAGAATAACTGTCATTATCCCCAGCATCATCATCAACAAAATCATCACATTTTGCTGTTTATACGTCACAAAGAGCTTGTTATTTGTTATCTTTATCGACACCCTAGCACATCGGTCCAACCAATTCGTGCTCAGTCTTTCAATGCAGCAGCCATGCTCAAAGTGCCCAACACTAGTTGGCTGGCATTTTTACTTTCTTTACCCCGCAGCCGATTTCTACATGCGTGTCCTCGTTTCATACCTATTTCCACCAGGATCTTCATTGTCTCTGACTTCTTTGTCTCAAAATCGCCAGCGCTTTCCGAATGTCTGCCCTGTCCATACTTCTTCCTCCAAAAACCTGTGCAGACACATGTTTTACAGCAGATTACTCTATGCCGTTTTTTTTTTCTGTGCAATCCTTTTGATAAAAAGCATGGAGTAAATTGCGTCTCGCCTGGTCTCCCTCATCTGTGTTATACTTAAAGAGCATAAATGACACATAATGATAAAAGGTAGTCAGTCTCATAGAAGGTAATAAAGTAAGAAGTAGTAAATTAGTGATTTCTTGTGTCAAATCAATGGACCAGAAACATAGAGAACAGCTAAGGTAATTATTATGAAACTAAAAACATTCATTAACTGGTGACCCAGAGTACAGGCAATTATATTTTTAAACTGAAAACATTCATTAACTGGTGACCCAGAGTAGAGGCAATTATATTTTTAAACTGAAAACATTCATTAACTGGTGACCCAGAGTACAGGCAATTATATTATTAAACTGAAAACATTCATTAACTGGTGACCCAGAGTACAGGCAATTATATTATTAAACTGAAAACATTCATTAACTGGTGACCCAGAGTACAGGCAATTATATTATTAAACTGAAAACATTCATTAACTGGTGACCCAGAGTACAGGGAATTATATTATTAAACTAAAAACATTCATTAACTGGTGACCCAGAGTACAGGCAATTAGATGGTAAGATAGAGAGAACTAAACAAGTTGTAGTGGACCAAGAGAAGAGGAAAAGACGCTGGCGTTGGATATGATACAAATTTAAAAAAAACCACTGAGAATAATAAAGCTAGAATTTCTTTGCATCGGAACCCACAGGGGCATAGAAAGAAAAGAAAAAATAGGGAGAGATGCATGTGATAGCGAAGGACAGAACAACTTGGCCTGAGTTGGTTGAAAGTCTGTACTCCATTGGTGGCTAGAAAGCAGAAGGTGAAGAAAAAGGTAGCAAGCATTCACATATTCGAGGCCAGTGGTTTACAGTTAGATAATACCTGTCAACGTCTCTTATTTGGTAAAATACATCATAGACTAACACTTTTAATTTGTCAGGTAAAAAGGTAAAGCCAACCAAGGGAACTTTGTCTCTGCTGTCAGGTGTATTGGGCATATGGTGCTAGACTTATGTGTTATAAACAAAATCGGCCAGCTGCCTTTATTTTCCATGACTGCCACTGGGTTGACCTGGCAGTCAAAGTCAGTTTTGTAAAATTTCTGGCTCTGTTCTGATTTGAACCCACGACCTTCAAATCCGTAGGCGAGCGTCTAGCCGCTAAGCTAAGGTTGCTCCCTGAGTAAATCTATATTAAAATCGGAAATCGTGTTCGGGGGTGTTTGTTATCGCGAGGAAGAGGAAGGGCAAATGTTCAGATTTTAAAGTTGTATTTATTTAATTACTATTTATATATTTATTGTTTGGTAGAGAAGCAAGTAAAATCCAGCCAACCAAGATGAGGGGAGGCTCTTCAAATAGAAGAAGTATGACACGGTGCGGAGAAAACCATAAGGAGTCCGGATAGTTGACGTACCTCCTCTCAGCTAGGAAAGCCTCCAGAATTGGCACCTGGAATGTTAGAATATCTTTGCATTGGAACCCACAGGGGCATAGGAATAAAGGAAGACCAAAAAACACATGGAGAAGAGAGCTGGAGAATGAAAGAAAGATGGGGAGGACATGGGGAGAGCTCCATGCAATGGCGAAGGATAGAACGACTTGGCTTGAGTTGGTTGAGGGCCTATGCTCCATTGGGGGATAGAAAGGCAGAAGAAAAAGAAGAAGAAGAGGAAGAAGAAGAAAAAAAAGAACTACTCAACGACTATTAGCCAGTAACTCAAAGAGTCAGTATGTGGATGCTTAGCAAACAGGAGAAAATCCCAGAAACACAGTTCAGCAGTTTACAACAGTTATACATGTTTTCCCAATATCCCCCCCCCCCCCCCCAATGATGACGTCACAGGACAGTCCAGTATTTTCAAGGGTGGTGAGAGCGGATTTCCCGGCTTTCTGACTACCCCAAAATATCTAGAACTGGGCCTAAACCTAAAACACCTACGTCCCACTAGACAGTGCAGCCTAGGTCCCACGACTGCATGCAGGCTAAGTTCCACGACTGCATGCAGCTTATCTATGACCCCCTAAAATTTTCGACTGTCTGTTTAGGGATAATATTGGGATTAAACCCTGTTATATATTAGCAACCTAAGAATATGAGGTAATTTGCTATTCAATATGAGTGGGTTGACCTAACAGTCGGGATAAAAGCCACGGTCACTAAGAAGAACCCAGACTGAACCCGGAGCACTGTTTCCCAGTGGTGTTGCTGCTAGACGCTTGCCTCCAGTCCGAAGGTTGTAAGTTCTAATCGAGCCGGATTCTTTCACAAAATGACCTTGATCCTGTCGACCTAAAATAGATACACGTCATGCGAAGAAAAGGAGGTGGGTATGATGTTTATAACATCACCCACCGAATACCGAGGTGGGGCTTCAAAATAACAAACAAATTTGCATCCCACAAAGGGACAACTTGTCCTGCCATAGAGAAGGGAACCAGAAAGTGAAATTAAAATGATACGGAGGACATGGGAGAGTGCTGTGTGCGACAGGATTAATGGGAAGACTCGGTGAGTTTGTTGAGGGCTTATGATGATCCACTGGGGGGGGGGGGGGGGGATAAAGTGAAGAAGAAGAAGAAGAAGAAAAAGAAGAAGAAGAAAAAGAAGAAGAAGAAGAAGAAGAAAAAGAAGAAGAAGAAGAAGAAGAAGAAGAAGAAGAAGAAGAAGAAGAAGAAGAAGAAGAAGAAGAAGAACATAAAGGAGAAACAGAAACTCCCCTTCATATGTACATAACTGTGTTCACACATATATACATAATATCTTTTTAACTATGCTGAACATATGCTGTGAGTAAGTCATTGCACAGGAATATTTACTTTTAAATGTGGTATTCATGTTTTCTTGGAGTAGTGTCAAAACTCAGATGTACAACATAAACAGCTAGCCTATACTGCTGTAGAAAAATCAGTGTAAGAGTAGACCAGCAGGTATTACACATAAATTACAAACTTTTCAAAATAAATGTCTAAAGAGAATCCTGCCAATGTTTTGACTGAAGAATACCCCAAATGAAAAACTGAGGAAGAAACGAAAATGATCATTTCTGGCAAACGTTATTAAATTATATATATATATAAAAAAAAAGATTGATATGGTTTGGATATGTTTGCAGAATGATTCACGACACATTGGCAAGACAGGTCAGTGAGTGATAGATGGGACGAGGAAACGTAAATGGCCTATTGAAACGTGAAAAAGAACAGCCGAACGGAAGATGAAGAAATGCATAGTGACCTGAGATACTATAAGAGGAAAAACAGCAGTCCGACTGCAGTAAAGATCACTTGTGAATGCTATATGTATTGACAACGGCATGAAGAGAATTTAGATAAATTCAATACAGGATCACACACAGCCTCCGAATCATTATTTACAAGAATCTGCCTCGGATAGTGTGAATTTGGTTGAATATTTCATTTTTACTGTTTACCAAAACTGATAAATGAGAACAAGAAGATAAAATAAACGTGATACTATTGAGATACTAATATTACGAATTTATACTAGTGTATGTTTTCCCCCCTCAAAGAACGAACTGTTCTAGACATGTAATTTATTTATTTCATAATACCTTTCACATGTTATATATATATATATATATATATATATATATATATATATATATATATATATATATATATATATATATATATATATATATATATATATATATATATACACACATATAAAACATATATATATATATATATATATATATATATATATATATATATATATATACACACACACACATAGTTGCGATACAAGTGGTAAAACAGGAGCCACACTAAAAAGAAATTTTTCTATATTTATATAAATTATAAATTTCTAATATTTAAATATACAAGTTTTCTAAGTGGCATGCTTTGGTTCAAGGGTTTAAGTCTCGTTAAGTACGCAATAATAATAGTATGATGATGATGATATAAATGCTCTTTGTCGAATAAATAGACAGTTGTACCCAGGTATACGTCTTTAATTCGTTCTAGACCCTTGTACGTATATCAAACATGGAGCATACCACCGGAATTTTCTGTCAAGAAACAAAAGAAAGATGATTAATGCGTTCTCATAAAAAAAAAAAAGTCTTTATATTATTGGCAGATTATAATGGATGACGTTGAATAAAATAATTTAAACACTGCCTATTCTAAAATACATAAACACAAAAGCAAAATGATGAAATAATAAAAGTTTAGCCTCACTTTACCTTGCTGAGAACAGTCCACTGCCGACTAGGATGGTGCTGAGAAAGGAGAAAATGTTATTGTTTGGAAAGTGAGTCCCCTTTCAACACGCCTACAAAATCTGAAATTCGAGTGTTTCTTTCTTTCGTGTTTGTGTCTCTCTTCTCTTCTTGGGCACAGTTAAAGCTGCCTAGATTCGACTTGTTTCCAAATAACTGTGCTTCAGTCTTATCCTCTGAATGTTTCGGAAATAACAGACAACGCTATTCCGGTTTGTTAAGGCTTTTTAGAATAGTAGTTCTCTGCCATATGTTTGATATTAATCCATTTGGCAAACATTTTCTTGATTGATGACGTGAGGGCTTCACTATCTCCTCTTCCCCTGAGCCTACAAAAAGTACACCCACCTCAGTTTTGTTCTCAAGCGTTTTTCAGACGTGGCATACCTGTGTGCAGACTGTTGGTTTCTCGCCGCTCAGGCAGATGCGCCCATATTTCGGAGAAAAAATCTTTAATTGGTCGCCTTCTACGAAATGCATGTAAACAAAGCAGTAGTCAACCCTCCCCTCCCCCACCCAACCTTTACAATTTTCGGCCCCCTCCCCTCAAGGTAGCAATAGAACCCACATGGGAAGAGTGTGGACTGAAATGTTTCGGCCTTCATAAATGCTATGCTTTGACAGACAAGGTAAATTATGGTGGCCTAAAGATCCTTTCATATTATTTACATTAATTAATGATCTCTGTCTCCAGGTACTGGGACGCCGTCGTCATACCATCTGCCAAATTAGTGACTCCACCAGTGCCGCTGCTGTATCGCCAGACCCAGCTTCTAGAGCCAAACAATACAACTACGTAAGAAAGTTCTCCGTTGACATCTCTGCTCTGCAGGCTCAGCTCCAGAACCCGAAGATCTGCAAAGATGCGCCATTTCAGTCAGACATTGATATTTCCAAGAGACCTGCTTCAGAGAAACCAGAAATTCCCAAGCCTCTTTTACCACAGAAGCCATTAACAGGAAGCTTCAATGAGAAAATTGAGGCTTTTACGGAAAAGGTTAAACAAGATAAAGTAGAATCTCCTGCTGGTACTAACAACCAACCTCCTCCAGTCATAATGGTTTCCAATGATGACGCCCCAGTCAGTACTATGGATACTGAACAAGACAACAACCAAAACGAAACTGACGTTTCACATGAGACATTCCAGGAACAAATTAAAACAAACCCCAACTCAGAAAATAAAAACCACAAACCGAATTCCCTCATATTCACAAAATCCACTGAAGAAGAAGATCACATGTCTCCAACATTAGAGAGCGCTACAAGTGACCACAGCAACGCTGACTCAGACTTCCGTAAAATGGCACGGTTAACTCTTCTTCTGAGCTTGACATTCATTTTGCACATGTTGCCTGTTCTAGCCATGGAAGTATTGAAGGCAACACTGAGTCTCGACGCATTTATCAACATCTCCACGTGTACCATCGCTGTTTCCAGCGTTCAGACCATCGTTTACCCTCATCTGATCATCTGCTGCGATGACGTGGTTCACAGAGCTATCCACAAAGTGAAGAAACGAACTCAGATCGCCTGCTGCTGTCGTAGTGACCTGGACGCTCATAGCCAGGTGGATGACAGTTCCAGCGTCAGTCAAGTGTAAACACTTAATATTTCAGTTCATCAATGTTTAATAATGGTTACGGTTGAAATTGATAACGCCCCCCCCCCCCCCTTTTTCCAGCAGTGAACTATGTTTGTTAAAACAAAGTGAAATCCGAACATACAGCTGGATAATTTCCATATCTCTTCCTTACAGATTAACCGATGAAAGCCGTAGGAATATGGTTCAGCTATAAGACTGGATATCACAGTTCTTATGTGTGTAACAATGGCTACTAATATAGGAATAGCAAACGCTTTCAATCGCTATCACATGTATTTGATAGAGTAATTAAGCCATCGGGTACTTTCACGTCTCTTGCTCAGAGATCAAACAATGAAAGCTCTGTGTGCAGAATAGGTCAAGCTTAAACACTATTTTCGGTTCATGTGTGCACAAATTGCTGTTATTGACGTGGCCTGTGTTATTTCCACATGATATGAATTGTGCTGGTTCAACACAGTGAAGATTTTATCATGGGATCATATACTTTTCACATCTCTTTTTTAATGATTAGCAAAAAAATATGCTAAATTTTTTATTCATAACCAAAACATTTTATTTCGTAGACGAAAAGAAAAATTATAATAAGCAACTGGATATATTCCACATCATTTTTAGACACAATCCAATGTTTGTTCGCCCACGATGTACACTCTCTCAGACTGCTGTTCATTGATCATTTGATGTTATCCTCTCATTTGTATCGCTTTCTGTCTTTTGCTCAATTGCCTTCCACCTTTCTCTCTAGTATGGTTTAATAATATTAAGACTGATAAGTCTTTTAATCGTATTATACCAATAGATTTCATTTGAATATTTTTTCTTTATCGTCTGTCTCCGTAGTTTTTTTTTTTTTTTTTTGTGGGTGTGTTTTTGTTTGTTTGTTTTGTTAATTCTCAATGTTTAAAAGCAAACGAGTATAAACACCAGATATTTATGTTAATTTATGTGTAACAATGGCTACCATCGACATGGCAGATACCATTCCCTTACGACATGAATTCGATGAAGTAAGGATTATATCAAGACGTTTCGAATACGTTCCACAGTTATTCCGTAGAAGTGAACCATTTAAAAGTGTTTTACCCGTTAACGAAGTGAATTTATTTATTAAACTTCTATCAAAGCCTCAGTTACTCTCCATGTCACTTCTTTAGGGATCTACTAATCACCAATGACTTCTTATCATCGTGAAATTATTTGTTAAAGTCAGACGCAGCGGAGATGTCATTTAGTTAGTTTATACTTTTTACATCATTTTTATTGAAAACAGCTAATGTAATGTGTATTTCTTTTTTTCGCTTAGAAATTAACCAAACATTTTTTCAAGTTGTGTTTTAAGTTGTGGATACTTTTTCATTTTTAGAGACCAGTCAACAGTCATATCTCAAAAGTAAATTATGTATTGTCATCATCATCATCATCATAGTCCAATCACACGGCATGTCATCAGGTCTAAATTCTCTCCACCTCTGTCGGTTAGATGCAATAGACTTAATGTTTTCATGACTTCTTCTCCACAATCCCCACAACGGCGACCCTGTCGCCCCTTGGCTCGCCTGTAGACGACTTCGTCTCCGGTCGGGGACAGTATTTAGGTCTGTCTCTTTGATTGCATCGAAACTGCAAAAGTCTTTTTCAGTGCTTTTAGTGACGTGTTAATTCCAAGCCATTTGATGTGGCGCACATTACACAGTCACAATTATAACCTAAAGCTTCCCTAAGCTTTCTAAGCTTCCTAAAGCTTAGGGGATGCTGTTTGGACGTGACAATTTATTCCCCCAGCAAAGTACCTACCTACCTACTTCCACTTTTCCTCTAAAGAGCCTTTTAGTATCGTTTTGAAGATGCAGGGAGATGTTGCGTGTCCTTACAAATGTTTTTGTTTTTAGTTTTTCACTGTTGTTTAGTGATTCATAGCTGCTAAAAACGTTTACTAATGACCTGACAAATTCTGGCATTTGTGATGTGGTCTTTGCGTGATATAGCAGTCATGGTTGAACACTGACAATTTACGTTTATATGTGCATCATTGGCTATTATCAATATTTTGTCAAGATATGGACTCTATAAGTCGATGAGAACCCTTCGTAATGCCGGGATGCCGGGTTCGATCCCAGCTGCGGGCCATGCGCCTTGCGTTGGTTTCGACAGTGGTATCAAGAAAGCCGACCGTCCAGGGGCAATGGCAAACTACTGGAAGTAAATTTGCCTAGAAAAACCACACAACAGCCAGGGGCTGTTGGGGTTGGTTCTGCAACGTCCTGCAACTATTCTTATGGACTCTATTGGTTGAATCGTATGCAGATTCTATGAAATCATGAGATTCAACATCCAATTTATTTCACAGATCAGCCATTGAAGGCTATATATTATTCTAACTGAGGGATAAGCCACAGCACTATACACATTTATTCATCTAGTAGGAATGCAGCCAAAACAACTACCAACGCATGAAAAGATCTGACGTGAAACCAAAAGGCCGTCCTAGGAGGAGTGGACCGATGACATTAAAGAGCTTCTACACGGACACAGAATGACAATAGCCATTGCTGTCCATCAAGCAATGGATCACAAACTGTTACTTCCAACAACTCTTAACGCCAAAAGTGAAAATTAATAATGATGATGAAGATAACTATACACATTGAAAGACGGCAGAACCAACCTGACAAAATAACGTGCTGAAACAAATAAATAGACATTTGATGTATATATTCTTATCAAATATTTAAATGGATTCTCCTTTTGTGTGTTAAATGTATGATAATCTACTGCACACATTCCCCTATAATCACTTTGAAAATCATTAATGTTTGACTGCGTGGAGAAAGACTGTGGTTAGCCAGGTTGCTAAACTGTGCCACTTCAACGCCCGCCTCTGGCAACACATGTAGCTATTCTGTAAATACGTAACACTTAGTCAAAAAAAAAAAAAAAATCCATAGTCTGTTGCTACTGAAACAAATCCGTCATTATATGATAGGGGTCGCCACTCAGGTTTCAGACTGTATTTTTGGGGATGCATTCGTCTTTATAGCGTTCACCAGCTACAAACTCCAGCGTAAAGTTAAGGTTGTTCGTCCACTTGTGGAATTTGGTCTTGTTCCAGAATTTAAGTTTTCCTTGTTGTTTTCCTTGCACACATTTTAAAAAAACAGATCTGGATTAACTGTATCCAAACTGTTGGCTCTTTAACTCCCAGCAGATGCACTCCGACCTCTGAGAAAATGCAATTTTTGTACCACCTTTTACGACATGCTTGTTATGGGGCAGTTGGTATATTCGCTTTCTTTTGAAATATGGTCCCCGAACACTAACTGGTATTCGGTGGTGTTAAGTGTTAGCGTTCACACATTATAGGCCAGGAAATATTATGTGATGTGACCAGTTGCTTTCCTCGTCGCCTCTCATCATCTGCTAATGTTCGAATGGTATAACCTCCTGATGTTATAAATAAGGTATATCGATACAACTAGAGAAGATTATTGACAGTATTGTTGCATGGCATGGAGGTTTGTCGGCACACGAACTGATCCATGCTGCAGGAGATCGCGGATTATGGAGAGGCATGATCCACCACGCCAGTCGGCAAGGCAACTGATGATGATGATGATATCGATAAGGCATAATATTTTATGGATGAGGCATAGTATTTTATGGATAAGGCATATTTATTAGACTTATGATTCATGGATGAGGCAGTGGAACAAAGTATACTGCCGCTGGGGATGTAAAGATGTCACAGATAAGGCATACAGATACGGTTTATGATGTCATGGGTAAGGCAGTGGAATAAAGTATATTGCCGCTGAAGATGTAAAGATGACAAGGATAAGGCACATGGATAAGGTTTATGATGTCATGGTAGGTTTAGGATGTCACGATTAAAACAGTCAAATAGCAGATACTGCCTTTGGCTGAAGCAGATAATACGCTTCACATATTCTCGCTGTCAGCCATACTCACACTAAACGATTCGAAAAGGTGCAAAATGAAGCCAGGCTTAGAATTCTGGAGTGTACAAGCGGCACCTCTTGTTTAGCAATGAAATACCTTCTTGACTTTACGGTCAACATCGCGCCAATATTGGTAATATCTTTAGAGAGATATGACGATCAAAGGAAGCAGTGGGTTAACATCACTGCTCAGAGGTGAGAACAGGGAGTAAACATCAGCAATGCCAAGCATGAGAGGCACAAGGGACTGCAAGAAGTCTTCTTAACCAGCGCAGAACTGGCATCACAGCCCATAGCGAGTCATTCCAAGATGCAGCTACTGTAAGGAATGATGTTTCCCCTCGCTGCTACACAAAACCTGGGTAGTAAAATTGATAACCTGTGTTGCACGCGAAGATGATCCCATCTCGTCAGATCTTTTCATTTCCTAAAGCAGTGTTTCGCAAACTTTTTTCACAAGCGGCGCTTTTATTAAATTACAATTTTTCTACGGCGCCCCAACCTAATTAAAAGTATGACTATTCGTATGTAAGAGATTTGGGAATAAAAATACAACTCATGTATCTTCGAATATCTCGAGGCGCCCATGTGAAGAGGTCGCAGCTCCCCGGGGCGCCGCTGCGCACAGATTGGGAACCACTGTCCTAATGATTGGTAACACTACTATGTTTGGTGGGCGGGGGGTAGTGCCTGCTGCACAAGCATCCCCATCTCTACTAATTCTCTAGTTGCATGGGGTTGTAAGCCCTTTTTTTAAAGTGGGCAGTAACAATCATAGTTATTATTATTATTATTATTATTATTATTATTATTATTATTATTATTATTATTATTATTATTATTATTATTAGTATTTGCCTCCCCGCTTGAGTTCCGAAGCACAATTGTGAGGAAAACAAGAAGAGACCCACTGCATCTCCAACAATCTTGCCGTTAAAGTCGAAAAATGTGGGACATCCTCCAAGTCGGAGCACATCTTCCTGAGAGGCAACGAACCCAATAAGCCAGATATGTGAAACATGTGTATGCAACTTTGGA